AAAGAAGAAAGAGAAGGAAGGAAGGAAGGAGGGAAGGAAGGAGAAAAAGAAAGAAGAAAGAGAAGGAAAGAGAAAGAAAGAAGGAAGGAAGGAAAGAAATATAGAGAGAGAAAGGAAAAGAAAAGAGAGAACTACAATAGGTGTTCAGCGTGTACTCCGTTAAAAAAAAATAGAATAAAAACTACAAGTTCCAGCAGACATCTCGCCTACGACTTCTGAAGATCGTCTTTCCCCGAACGCAATGATCGCTGGGATTTGTAGTCCAGTGACAAAATCAAGGAGGGACGCGCACTACCGGCCTAGATGACAGAGGAGGGAATCACTACCATTCCGACCAATGGACAGTTGACGCCGAAACTGAGTGGCGAGCGCATAGCCAATGGGTAAGCCATTCAGCCTGAGTGACATGGGTTGCAACCTACAGGAGGCCCGTGGGGCGGTACGGCGCGCGGCGCCCGTAGTGCGAACCATGGGAGGCGGCTGGTGGTGGGCTCGGGCCGCTCGCCTCGCCCGTCTCCGCTTCCGGAGGTCGCTACTGCCACCTCAGCGGCCCCGGAGCGGGGGCGCCCGGGGGTCCTTCGCCCCCGGCACGGTCCCCGCGCCGGGGCTTCGCCGCCCCCAGTGTCCGAGCTGGACCGTGCGGACGCCTGGCTCCTCCGAAAGGCGCACGAGACAGGTCGGTGGCTGGAGGTGGGGGCGGTGTGGATGGGACGGGGGTCCCGGGCGCGCGTGGAACCTCGATGGGGCGGGGGCTTCTGCAGGAAACGGGGCCCGGGCTCGGCTCCGAGAAGGGCTTCAGTGTGAGCGCACGGAAGCGCAGAGTGCAAGAGCGCAGGTGCCCGCAGAGAGGATGGGCTTTCGGGGAGGACTAGGACCCCGCGTAACGGGGCGCCGTAGGGATTGGAGGGGGTGGTAGGGTTGCGCGAGGCAGCCTCGTAGAATCGCGCCTGTCGTGTGAAGAGGGGCTTCCAGGGAAAGCTTAGAGTCTGTGGAGTTGGGTACTAGAGGGGTCCGTCCCGATTACAGAGGCCACCACTGTGCAGAGAGCGGGAGTGTGGATCCCCGCAGACGAGGGGGAAGTTCAGGATTGGAGGAGGGGACAACCAATAGGGAAAAAGCTGTCTGCTGATTGGAGGGGGAGGTGATCTAGGCTTCAGGGGGCGGGGCTTGTGACGGAGGCGAGGTCCAGAATGTAGCGGAGTGGCCATCTATTTTTTATTTTATTTTATTTTATTTATTTATTTATTTTTTTTGAGACGGAGTCTCGCTCTGTCACCGGGGCTGGAGTGCAGTGGCCGGATCTCAGCTCACTGCAAGCTCCGCCTCCCGGGTTTACGCCATTCTCCTGCCTCAGCCTCTCAAGTAGCTGTGACTACAGGCGCCCGCCACCTCGCCTGGCTAGTTTTTTGTATTTTTTTAGTAGAGACGGGGTTTCACCGTGTTAGCCAGGATGGTCTCGATCTCCCGACCTCGTGATCCGCCCGTCTCGGCCTCCCAAAGTGCTGGGATTACAGGCTTGAGCCACCGCGCCCGGCCTTTTTTTTTTTTGAGACAGGGTCTCACTCTGTTGCCCAGGCTGGCGTGCAGTGGCACGGTCACAGCTCACTGCAGCCTTGACCTCCTGGGCTCAGGTGATCCTCCCACCTCAGCCTCTGGAGTAGCTGGGACCACAGGTGCATGCCACTGTAACTGGCCAATTTAAAAAAAAAATTTTTTTTTGTAGAGATGGGACTTCACTTTGTTGCCCAGGCTGGTCTTCAACTGCTGGGCTCAGGCAAACTACCTGCCTCAGCCTCCCAAATTGTTGGGATTACAGGCACGAGCCACCATATCCGGTCTAGAGCAGTCTTTCTAAAAAGCAGATTTGACAATGATCCTCTCCAGCTCTAAAGCTTTCTATGGCTCCCCAGTGCCCCTGCACCAAAAGGCCAGGCCATCATCTTCAGGCTGGTTTCTCACTGCTTTCTACTCCCACCCCAAGCATTACCTTTAGGGTCAGGCTGTTGCTTGGAACCCTTTCTCTGCTTGGAACACCCCTCGCTGCTTCTTTCCATTAGTTGCTCTGCTTTGTGGGCCTCCCCTGGTAAGAGCCTGCCATGGCTCCCCAGTGCCCCAGAGTCAAGAGTTCAGACCCTTCACCTGAGCCTAAGGAGGCTGTGAGCCTGCCCCTGCCTTCCTCAAAGATACTGTCCCCCTCCCCCTGGTGACTCCTCTGTCTCCTGCCAGCAAGACCGTTCCACTCTGGGCCTCTGCTCTCACCATCTTCCCCCTCCTTCCCCTTCCTATCTGCAGAGGGCTTGTCCCATTCTAGAAGCCCTCTCCGAAGCACCCTCACCGGAGGTGGGGAGAGACAGCAGGGCCCCGAGTCCCCTGTAGGAGGGGTGGGCACAGCCCTCACCTGAGCACGTGGCTGACCCAAAGCACATGGTGCTCCCCGGGGCTCTTCCCGCTCCCGGCCACCGTGGCCACGGATTGCAGCCACACGAAGCCCCCGGCGCGCTGCAGCCAACGGTAGTAACCGGTCATCACCTGACCCTTGTCCAGCACTGGGCCCAGCCCAGGGGTGGGAGAGACGGGAAGGGGTGGGGTGGGGTGGGGACAGGGACGAGACAGAGACAGGTGGATAGGAGGAGACAGGCGGAGTGAGAGAGAGCAGGGCAGTGGGCAGGGAGACAGTGGGAAGAAGAGATAAAGGTGAAAGCACAGAGAGAGAGGCAGAGTCAGAGAGACTGAGAGGTAGCCCAGCAGTGAGGCGTCTTGGGTGTTTTGGAGACCCCACAGCCCCCCC